CTAAAGTTTCGTCGGAACGAAGTTACGGAAAGTTAATTAACAAACGGAGACGTAACAATATACAAAAATTCGAAAGCTATGCTAATATTTGTTTAAAAAATTGTGCAATCAGCTAGTTTGACGTAGTATTTCATTGTGCCAACATTTTATAATATAAAAAACAAAGCGAAAGATAAAGTTAACAGGTGTGATAGATTTAGCTGAAGACAAAAAAAAGGATGCTAGCTTCAAGCTCACTCTCTCGAAACTAAAAATAATATATAGCTGGGTATGAGAAAACGTTACACAAAAATTAACAAATTCCTTATACACGGTTATGTGACAGCAAAAGTAACTTCCATATTCATTAGTATCTCTTGTAAGTGGTTTCACACATTTTAACAATCAAGAGTCTTCCGAGTTAGATCCAAAATGTCTACACGTTGTATTCAATTTATTATATTTACTTGCCCAACAACTATTAATAACTCTTGTCATTAGCGTAGAACAAACTGGGTGTTTTCAAGCATTCTTTCAGTTAAGTCAAAGTAAGTCATTCGACAGCTTTATATGTGTTTGATATAATTTTTTTTTATGTACCTGCCTCTATCTATGATTTCTTCACCTTTGGGTGTTATTGCATGTCAAAATAATGCATTTTATTCATTAATACGTATCTAATAATTACTTTTATCATTAAAACTTCATTTAGAAATCTGTTCAAAAGCTTATGGGAAAAAATACTAAAAATTATATACCTTACATTTTTTTTAGAATTGTCATAGGCCATCTATTCCTTACTTATGTTTCAAATCCATACATGCAAGATTTAATATATTTATATATTTTTATTAAACAATTCCACAGAACTGTATTTTTTTTCAACTACACCTTTTCAAATTCAGTAATATTAAATATGAGACTTTTTAACAGTATTATTCTAACTAAATATTTTAAAAAATTCAAGCTTTATCAATAAGTCTCAAGCAAAAATAGTTATATTACTGATTAATTATTTCTTATATTATTTAATATCACAACTTCCAAAATAATACTGCAGTAGGTCTTATAAAATACAATAAATCTTTGAATAAGAAAGACAGTGTATCTTTATTATCTAAAATACTCTTCAAACTAACTTTTAGTAGAAAAAAGGGGGCTTTTAAATCTTTATATATGTTATGCTGAATACAACTTTTAAAAATAATTCATGTAATACATTATGCAGTTTAGATGTACAAATAGTAAATGTATTTAGTGAATTAGTATCATGGTTAAGAAAATGATAAACATAGAACAAAGTATTTCTTTGTAATGGAACTTGAAGCACTTAATAAATAAAGTAAAAACTGATGAAGATTTGACTGAGTAATGGAATTAACATGATTTCAATCTTTAATAGCATTAAGAATCACTAATAATAGTTTTAAAACAATTTAAAATAGTTCAGAAGCACAATAAATTTTATTAAAGCATATCAAATAAACAACTGCCATATTATGATTGACATAAAAGGTCAATCCATGTTGATGGTTATGTCAAAGAGGCTAGAATATTTCTATACACTGACAAGTCTAATAAAATATACTGGAATTTTCTAAAAGAAACAAACTTGATACATAAAAGTGCAGAATGTGAGATGGTTTAAAAATCTGACACAAACTTGGAGTGGTTCATTATATGGGGAAAAAGTCATGTTGAAACTTACTGTGGCACTTGTGTTGAAAATTAAAAAGTATCTCATTAATGTCATACATTCTTAAAACTAGTAGTACTTTGAAAAAGTCATAGAGATGATTCTGTTTTAAAACTTTTCGGCATTCTATTTTTTTTAACCCTTCTCTAGCAAACTGAGAGAGCTTTCTGAGGGTGAATAAAAAAACACACACAAAAGACACATGTATAGTGATTCTGTCCTAACTGATGAAAATATATATATATATATATATGCACACAACAAAATGAAAGATCATACGATCACTGGAAAACATTAAGCCTCAAACTGTCCATGTGGGTTTTAGTTAAACAGTTATTTTGTTCCAATGATACATATAATCTATTAAAACAATTCTCTAGGCTATTTCTGTAAACAACGTTGCTGACCTTCCTTATAATGCAGAAAACTTTCACAGAAACTCCTTGATCCCTGATTTACACAACTTTTTACCTGAATTTAGTTTTTATACACCAACTGCTTTTTTAAGGTTTTGTTTTAAACAGATGCATAGATAAAAAACAATGCAATATTCACTATAATACTTGTTTTTTGGGATATTTGCCTAAATCTACACAAATGTTATCTCTATAAAGCTATCCTTAATTTGGAAGTGATACACTATAAGGAAGGCAACTGGTCAACAGCTAGTTGACTTGGGCTACTTTAATTGAATGGAAGGATTTGACCATCACTCTTATAATGAACCTGCAGCTCCGAAGTATAGAGTGAGATTTTGTGTGCCTTCTCATTCTGGCACACTAGCCACACCTAACTCTACCCATAATAATCTTAATTATTTATATAGAGAAGTTTTAAGTATCAAATCTATTTTGACAATTTCATAAACGTGCTTGTCTTACAAGAAATAAATTTTTCAATAAAATTCACATGAGAAAAAAATCCCTTTTTTTTTCTAGTTGTTTGAACAAAAATTCACATATTATTTTCAGACTATAAGACAAGTTCTGTATTTTCTAAGCATGCTTAAGATAGTGATTTTTTCCAAAGTAATTTCAAAAAAAAGAAACATGAATTCTACTGTCTACTGTTGTATATTTTAATTGTTAAACCCAACTTTTCTTTATAAACATATTGAAGTTTTGTTTATGTAAAAACAAATAAAAAAAAGAAATGATGGTTGGTGGTGTAGACTAAGTTAATAAAAGTATCTTCTTTATTACTAAGAGATGAAGAAAAAAGCAACCATACAATGTCAAAAAAGAAAATTAGAAATTGTCAGATTCTACAAAAAAAAAAGGTGTTTTTAGTGTCATGAATTTTGGTTTCACAGTGTTGTTTACAAGAAGCATTACACAACTAACTTTATGGCTTCAAATAATAGAAAAAATGTGAAAATCCTGAGTTATAGTTTCATACTGTCATTCACAGGATTACTGGAAGCATTATGACTTTATATACGTTTAAGGTTTTATACATTTAAAACAGAGACTTTTTTTTCATATCTGACTTTTGTGTTTTACTGTTTTCATATTTTGTTGTGTACTACTCTTAAGTTTGTAGGTTAAACAGAATAACATCACAAAGTTACCTATTAACAATAAATGCTGGTTAAGCTTCAATGCATCATCATCATCCAAATAACACTATGTTTTCACTTAAGAGAAATGTTCTTTCAGTTTCTTCTTTACCTGAAATAAAAAGATCCTATTACATTATGTGATTAAATGGCAAGAGAAAATAAAATATTTTAAAATTCAATATTATTATTATTTCTTATGTAAGATTTTTATAATTCAGAAAGTACTCTTGGTATAACAAGTTTTCTGTAACTCTAAAGAAATTGAATCACATTTTAATTTGCAAATAAATACTATATTTGCTTCTGAATATTTTTGTTCAAGAAGCAAAAGTACAACAACACCTATCATCTATTTACTGAGTTATTAAACACATAAAATTCTGCATTTAAGAATTTAACATGAAAATGTATGGGCAAGTTTCTAAAAGTCCCATGGTTGACTAATTGACCAAAAGCAAGTTTACTGCTGTTCATTTAAGCTGCATTAAATTCAAACCTATTTCAATCACTACTGTTACAAACTATTGGATCCTGCCTCTCCATCTAGTAATACTGGACATTTTCTAGTTTGAAATTTAAACTTTTCTCTAATAATTATTGTTACTGTTTTTTGTTATGTGCTACACTGCTTGACAGAATATTTATTTCATGGCTGACCATTATATATTTTTACACTTTTCTCTTGACAAGTTTTGGTTTCAGTTTGCATAATTTATATAGTTTCAAGATACACACTTATTATGAATATCCCTTGTGTTATACAAATAACATTTTAATACATATTAAAGCACTATGATTAATTTTACCTGTTCCACTCTAGTATATATGTGGAGTACCTCTAGTGTGTAGGACATCAATTATCATATGAAGACTTATCCCCACACAACCAAGAATCTTTAAAGTGGCCAATACCTTATCATCATTGTAGCAAACAGCAAGATAAAGTGCATAGATCTTCTGCAAAACACAGGTAAAATAATTATCTATAATAATTGAGTACATAATATTTTCATGGTAGATAAATAATGAACAATTTATTTGTTTTATAGTACTGTTTTGTAATTGTTATTTGTGACATTAAAGCTGATTCAAGGATAAAAAAAAAATTGTATTTAAAATTTGTGGAGGATCACAACTATTACAAAAAAAAATCAGGAATTGGCATATTATTACATGGGATATTTTATATATTTTTTCTTATGAAGTACTCTCTTTCAAATATTGCTTTAATTCCCATATAAAACTAACTACTCATCTGAAAAAACTTACTTCTTGTTCATATGAAACTGTTTTTATTCTCTCTGAGTAGAAATTTGATCAAACATACAAATACAATTAAGAATAATTTGAAACCTAAAGTAACAAAGAAATGTTTGTAAATAATTTTAAAACCATTTTTGTTACAGAACTGACTAATGTATATAAAATATTTAACACACGTACACAGAAAAACAACAGATAATGTTTTATAAAAACTGAAGAACATGTCAAGTTGAAATATTACTTTTATATAAAGTTTTTTAATTGGTCACATTTCAATTTGCATTTTTAACGTAGTAAACTAGAAAAACAAATTATTTTTTGTTTAAAAGATTTGTATGGAAGATTATAAATCTTGTGAAAAGTTTTATAGAAATTTGAAATCTCATCCACATTTTGATGTACTAGCACAGCTTTTTTATTTTTAGGTAGACCTAAATAGCAGTCCAAATGTCATCTCCTAAAAACTTAAAAAAAAGTGGATAAAGTCACTTGAAAGCCTTTAAGATGAAATATGTTTTTACCTCATAGTTCCAGCTATGGACAAAGTCAGACTCAATATATAATTAAGGAGCAGGCATTCACTAAGTTCCACGAGAAAACCTATGAAATATTCTATTCAATTCCTAAAGCATGTAACACACAGAACTTCTATGTATCTGAAGTGAAAAACATCTTCTGATGTGGTGACAGAAAGACCTACAAAAATAACAAGAACAGTTTATTGTACAGATAAAAAACAATCACTGGTGCATATCTAGATGTGTACTAAAACCAGGTGAGATGTAACAAAGTTTATATACATACAGTGAACTATGTCATCATTTCCAAAATTATGATCAGGTTGATGTTAGTAACAATGAGAAAAAAAAAACTGATAAGCAAGCTTGTATAATGTAACTTTTCCCTAAAAGGTACACCTTTATAATCTATGGCAATGTATTGAGGTTGGAGACTTGAGTATGTAACACATAAAATTGGTAGCTGAAATAAATGAGGGAAAACTCATTGCCATTTATCTCAGACTGCTAATGCAATGTTGATGCAGATTAAAAGCAGAAATTTTAGAAAAAGACAACCAAGTATGTATGTGTGTGTGTATATATAGATATATATCTATTTCTTTGTGTAAATACTAAATGAATGATCCTACAACTATCAGAAAATTAAATGTAGTTGATGTCAAACAGCATAGATATATATAGTTTACAGAATGAAAATCTGGGCATCTTCAAGTACATGGTTTTTACAGAGTAACATAAAAGTAAGTTACATTACAAAAAAGTGCACACATAGAATGAGTTTACAATACAATAACAGTGAAAATGTACCTTCAAAAGCATTGTATTATCTATGGTTAGATATATCATGTATCGAGGATTGGATAAACCTGATAAAATCAAGCCAAGCAGACTCTGTTTGTGTATAATAATTTACCTTTTATATGTCATACAGTGTGATCCATAGAAGAACAGCTAAAACTATTTCTAAAAATGAACAATCAGTTAATAAACATATTCAATATAGAAAATATTTTCAGATCAGGTTGTATAGTCAGCATGGTTTTTATTATAACTCTTGCTGCAATTTTCATACATATGTTTAACTGCTATACCTTAGATTTCATCATCAAGAGTTAGCACTATAAACACTTAACTCAAACATGGGTATTATTTAACTTGCACCTAAATTGATAGTAAGTTTCAATGTAAAAATATCATTTTACAGGTATCTATTAAGATAAAATCATCCAAAATGTTTAAATATAGAAATATTTAACAGTTAACAGAAGACTGGATTTTGTACCTTCTTTAAATATACTGTTATCCAAAAAAGTACTGTTACCCCTTTATTTCACTTTGTGATTGAGAATGAAGGGTCTAACAGGATGTTCCAAAACTACTCTTAAAGTTAGAATACCTATAATTATTCTCAATTTACAATGTGCTAACTCTTCTTTTATCCCAAATATGTTTCAACCAATGTCTAATTTATTTTATATTCAATTACTTATCAGGTTTTCTCAGATGTTTAAAACTAGTACATACTAACTAAGCACACATAAAACTTAGTGCTAAGATTAGCAAAAAATGTCTATATTCTAAATGAGCTTTCAAGGGCCAGAAAACTAATAATTTGAGAATACTATATTAATAATATAAGGTTGAGATGCATCGTATATATATATATATTACACACTAGTTTCAAGATACATGTCTAAAGAAACTACACATTCTACGAAAACACTATGTTAAAATAAATCCCAAAAAACAAATCAGTTGACCAAACCAGTAAAGAAAACAAAAAGGAATCTTTAGGATCTTAGAAAGCTTCTAGTTGAAAAATAAATATTTATCCGACAGCTTAGGATAAGAAGAATGAAATAACAAAGTCAAAGGGACTTTTTTGAAAACAGTATACTACAGTATACATTGCAGAACGACAACAAAAGTACTATCAGGGTAATAATATGTAGTATCAACACAACAAAAAATTCTCTTATGAAAATGTTCAGACAATCAAACGATGTTTATTGTTAGAAAGACATCTTACAGATTTCATAAAAATTATGTGATCACAAAACGAAAAAAAATTTTATGTAAGGAGGTCAAAAATTTTGCACTCAAAATTTTGTAACTTTTCACAAACTTTTCAGCACAAAGCATTTAAATATTTATTTTGCTTTGCAGAAAGCCTAATACTTCAAATGACAAATGACAAAAAATTATTATCTGTTTGATGTAACATTACTATTTATAATCACTCTTCATTGGCTTGACCAGATCTCCCACATTGATCTGACAAATGCTAACCAAATTTTATAACCAAACAGTCATAGGAAACTGGAAGTGCTGAAGATAAATAAAACAAGCAAATACATTTATCCTTGAAAGAATTAGTCATAACTCATGAGCAGTCACCCCCAGGCACAGGTGTGAAGGGGTGCAAAATTTCCTCTGGCCTATAATGCCTATTAATTAATAATTATGCCCTCCCCTAGAATATAGC